TTCAGCAGCAAGATGGATGTTTAGACTGGGACTTTCATTTGAGTTACAAACATAGAAACTCTTTGTAAAAATTGGGAATGAAGATTTTAACAAACAAAAATTTGTGGGTATTTGAGGGTCTGGGGTAAGCTTGCATGTAAATATTTGTAAAATGAACATGGGCCCAGATTGTTTCCTGTGTTCCAGCTCCTATACGTTTCCATAAGTCAGTAAAAGAGCCTTGAAACAGCTAAATCTGGCCATCTGAGAGTGTCCACCCCAGAGAGGACTCTCAGCTGATGCAGAACAAGTGTAACCAGCACCTGCACCATGCCCCATCTGACCTGATATAATGGATATGCTGGGAAGGAGAGGATGTTGTAACAATGCAACCTCAAGATGGCATACCCTCCCTTGATGGTTTATTAGAGAAGCCCAGAGTCTAGTGCTGGTACAGATGGACCAAGAGAATCTTCTGTGCTAAGCAGATCTCAGTGCAAAACTGAATAGATTAGGATAATAACTGAATCATTAGCTATATTTATTCCTATTCTGAAGGCCAGTCTATCAGAGGAAACCAGATACTGCAGCATCACTAAATTCAATGAACACATTCTGGTTCTGTACCACTGTAACTGAGATCAGGGTAATTGGTTTTGTGTAAGCTTTGAATAAGCAGTGATTTACAGTGGGGTGAAAATCATATGTGACCAAAGCCTGTGGTTTGCAGATCCAGGGCATGTAAACTGAAGAATAATGTTGCGGGATAATTTAGCACTAGTGTGCATTCATTTTTCATGCAATGATATAACTAGGTTTGGCCAGGAAATAATTGTTGTTCACTTGTGATTTCTGTTTTGCCTGAGATTTTTCTTTTGTTTGGAATATGCTGAGAAAATAAGGGAATTTCTGTTATAGAAATTTAGGTGCACATTGGCTCCTAATGTGTTTAAAAAACCCCAAAACATGGATTTATACTAAACAATACCACTCACGCAGAGTAATCAAATGACCACTGTAGCTAAATTGAAAGGCTATAACTCACCAGCTGATAAGGTACCAAAAATTCATTCATATGTTTGGCTAAAACAATACATCCTACGCTGTGCCCTGAATGCTGCTAAATTGTGGTTCTGGCAAACTCTTGAAGAAACAAATTGTATTGGCAAGTTTCTCTGTATAAAAATGAACAGATAACAGCACAAGTTGACTTCTCCTGCCTGTTTAATGAGAACTTGTGCTTCAACAACCTGCATGCATGGTCCTATGGGTTTTACGGTTGTCCTGGACAAAAACACTAGTGAGGGTGATTGTACACGTGACGATATACACGTGACGGAAATGTCACTTTGTGTAGCTTAGTTGTGTCGCATATTACACATGCACCAGTTGGGGGGGGGGTGGGTAGTTGAGTTTGCATAGTTGCAAACTAAACTACACCCTGATGTTTAATTTGCAATGATGCATTGCAGCTAATAGTCAGCTTGTCCCCTGGCTGTGGGAGAGGTGGGCAGGCTCTGCAGAAAAAAAGGATCAGGCTCCTTGCTGCTTCTGCCTTCAGCAGACACCTGCTTAAGGCACAAGCGGTGAGGGGCCTGATCCTTTTTCTTTTCTTTTTCATTGGAGCCTGCCCACAGCTGGGAGGTGACCTGCCAGCAGACCAAGTAACCCCTGAGCTGCAGGAGGCCCTGGTCCTTCCCTCCATAGTGGCAATGCTGTCTGGACAGGCTGCCAGTGGGCCAGGTGCCTGCCCCAGCATGGAGGCTCACCTGGCCTGATCCCTGTGGGGCACTGCTGCACAGAGAGAAGGACCAGGGCCCCTCACAGCTGAGGGATCGCTCGGCCCACCAGCAGCTTGCCCCCTGGCTGTAGGCAGGCCCTGCCAAAAAAAAATAGGATTGGGCCCCTCATTGTAACATGACAGAAAAATAAAAACCCTAAATTGAAATGATGGGTTTCAATTAAAAACCCACCGTCTCAATTTAGGGGGCATAGAAGACTAAACCTACATCACGTGTACAAGCAACCTCAGTGCACACTTTTGAACGGGATGCTTTCCAAGCCCAACCACTTTAAAGCTATATAACTTGCAAAGTCTCTGCCCAGGTTTGGGGAACTGAACAGAACATTTCAGTGCCTTCCAACTGGCTGTCCCTCTCATCTGCAACCCTGTTTATCTGAGGGATTCAGAGGCCTCTGAGACCTTTTGATAAATGTAGCTATATTGTATTTGAATGGTGTTGCTTACTTTCTATTTTTAGTTAACTTTCCCCAGGTGTAAAAAAACCATATGTACAGTTTGTAGTAAATGTAAATTTAATACCTGCGTGTAGCAATGTTTCTGCTGCCATCCATAAAATCAACTGAGGATATTTCCTTAGCCTATGCTCCAAACTGTACACTTTCATCTGAGAAGTGTGTATTGATTTTGTGAGGGCTATTTTGATCTCATGTTCATTCTCTGTCATTGTTTTGTCTTGTTAAATGTTTCTGTCAAGAATTATCAAATTTATTTGTAATAATAATATTAAAAACAAATGAGGCATATCCCATATGTAAGAATTCTGTCTGGCATCAGTATTGTATCATGACATGGATCT